ACGTGGAAATTAAGAGTTTTTCTCAGATTTTACTCGTTAATTGGGATTATCTGTAAAATACCAGAGAATTGCTCTGATCACAAACTGCTAACAAAGTCGTGTCTGTTGCACCAAAGCTTGTATAAATGCTGGTTGTGTAACGGTTGTTCATCACATGCTTTAATTCTGTTACACGCTGAAAAACAAGCAGAAATCAAACCACAAAGCTGCACTTGGACGTTTTCTGTCGGAGCCACTCGGCTGCTGTTGGGTGTGTTGGTGTGGTCTGGAGGGAGGAGGAGGAGGGTGGGTCACAGTCTTCCTCCTCCACGGGCTGAATGACAGCTTCTGACATCGTAGCCCGCAGGCAGGCATTTTGCAAGAGCTGGCGAAAGGAAAAGAAAGAAAGAAAGGAAAAAAAAACACGGAAAGAAGAGTTGCAGCGACTGTCAGATGCAGCAAATGGAGTAAAGGGAGGAAAAAGGGAGTCAGACCAGGAACTGAAGCGGTGGTGTGAACACTCCCACTGAAGCAGAGCAGCGACAGGCAGCAGCAGAGTTCAGAGGCCGAGGGCAGCATGGCGATGCAGCCGAGCTTCAGGACCTACTCGTCCGACAGCGTGAGCAGCGACGGCGTTTTCATAGAGGAGTCGTACCAGCAGAGCAGGCTCAGGGCCACCGACTGCAGGAAAGGTACAGTCCCTGCATCCTCCTCTCGTCTCGATATTCTTTATCATGAGGCAGAATTAAAGCAGCGAAACGTGCGAATTTGCAGAGTCGAGTCGTGGCTTCAGTGGTCGCCTGCCTCCCTCCAATGGGACGGGACACACCCCTCCATGTGTCACATCTTTTCCTCCTTTTATTGGTCCGAGGCGCAGACGCCCAAATTTGCTCGACGCCACAAATGATCAATTTTGCAGCACGAATTTTTATTTAAAAGGACATTTTCTGTATTTTAAGGCTTCATCTGTTGTGAAAAAAAAAACATCTTTGTGGTGGTAAAAGTTGCATCTATAGTGGAAAATGTGCAGTTTTTAAGTCATCCGTCAGTTAATGAACAATGTTTTCAGAGTTTATTGTGAGAAAAAAAAGAACTGCACTTGATTTAAAAAAAACCAGAAGAGCTGATTGAAGCTCCTCATTCTGTATTTTCAAAAAGGAGAACAACCTGTTGCACGATTATGTCCGTCGTCAATCAACCTGCTGATCAGTTTCTGCATTATTTAATCACTTTTTAGCCTTTGAACGTCACAAAATGGTAGAAAATTGAACAAAAAAAGCTCGAAATGACAAAGATATTCAGATTCTGGTCACAAAAGAGGAAAGAAATGAGAAATATTCACATTTAAGAGGCTGGATTTGGAGAATTTTTACTTATTTTGCTTTAAAATCACCCAACACAGGTGACAGAAGAGGAAATAAATGAGAAATATTGACATTTAAGAAGCTAGAATCAAAGAGTTTTGCCTTTTTCTTTCTTTAAAACCGCTCAGAATGATTCATCCATCGTCCAAACACCGACGACTAATCGATGAATCGCTGCAGCTCTTGATGTGACGTCTCGTTGGAGTGCTTCTGGCGTGCGGTTGGTGTTTTGTGGTGTTTTCTGGCAGCAGACTGACGGATGATTCCTTCAAAGGTGTTTATTCAGGACACCTGATATCTCACACCTCACCTCTGACTCGGGGATGAAAGGATCAGATCTGCTGCTCGGGGCTCCGCGAGTCAGCCGAGCAAACCCGTTATTTGTTGGAGGGATCAGTGAAGTTTGCTTTTCGTACGTTTTCGCCAGTTCAGGTTTTGGAATGTTAAGTGCAGCTTTCAGCCTTTTGTAGGAGCTCTGAGCAGCTGTTCTCCTGCAGACGTACGTCCAGCTTCTATCACAGCTTGCATGCAGAGTCACCCCCTCATGATCAAGTGCGATTAATTTTTCTTGTTTTTGAGCGTTTTCTTTACTTCTCTGTTCAGTCATGAGTGTCGCGGTGACTCATGGGCGTGATGCCACCCGGAGCAGGGCGTCGGCGCCACGAGACGGCGTCCTCTTTGGCTCCTCTGTTCCCTCTTTATCTGGTCACTTCTGCTCTTCTGAGCTTTGATCCTCATGAAACAATCGAGCGCTGTGGCAGGAAACCAGAAGAGACTTTCACTGTCTGGTCTGGTCTGGCGGCCTCCGTCGCTGCACCGGAGCAAACAGATAAAGGTGCACGCTTGATGAAGTTTAAGTGTCTGCAGGTATGTGAGAGTAATCAGACGGTGAAATCAAAACCAAAACACGACGGTCCTGCGAGGCGGAACATGTTTGTGCAGAGATGCAGATCTGGAGGATGTCAGGGATGATTTAGTGGAGCTTCCTCTGATGAGCACCGAAATAAATCTAAAGAATGACAGTAAACAGACGCTGTGTTATTACTATAAATAAATGAGTTTATTTATGTAACACTGTGTTCACAGTAAAAGAAATTAAAAAAATAGGACATTTTCTGTATTTTAATGACAAATCTCGAGAATAAAAACTGCAAAATCCATAAAATAACTTAAAAATGAACAGAAAATGATTTTATGGTTCACCTACTGAAAATAAAAAAAGACAATTCTGCTAATATTTGACGATAAAAAAACAATTATTTTCTCTGTTAACTAATGATGTACTGACAGCGACACGTGAATAACTTGTCATAAAAATGAGACTAATCTTTTGTGATTTAAATTTTTTTTACATGTTTAATATTTCTGTAAAAATACTGAATAAAACAGACTTTGTGCTGTAATTTTAAAATGAAAATTTTGCTTTAATTAGCAGTAAAAAAAATAAATAAAAAATTAAAGACAAAATAAAATCACGACATTTTCTGTTATTTAATAGTAAATCTACAGTAAAAAAAAAAAAACAAAAAACTGCAAATCTTCTACATAAATAAATCCATAAAACAATAATAAATGTTCTGGTGGAAACTCAGAGTTTTTCTGTTAATTACTGTGTTTGTAGTAAAAACAAAGAAAACAAAAAATCTGTTGTTAGAAAACTGGACATTTTAATTTTTTTAATGTTGAATCTATAATCGAAACATGACATTAGTTATTATTTAATGCTGTACATGTGTGAGAAATGGGATATTTTCTGTTATTTAATAGTAAATCTGCAGTAAAAAAAAAAACATGGAACTGTTTAAAAAAAACATCCATAAAACAACCAAAATGTTGAGGCAGCTCATGACAGACTTAAGAGTAAATTTGCAGCATCAAAACGAGTTTCGACGTTTCTGTCAGACAGTAACGAGCTTCATAACGGGACACGCCTTCTGAACTGTTGACAAGAAGCTGCTGAGCTTCAGGAGGAGCTGCGTTCGTGCTGCCATCACTTTTATTTCTTCTTGACGTGATCGCTGAGCGGCAGTCCAACAGCGTCGGCCCACAGCTTCGGTCTTTGAGCCCGTTTCTGTCCCAGTTCACCAGAACCACTGAACTCCACCGACAACATGTGGTCTTCTGCTAAAGTTGTGGAATTTTAAATGGAGCTAAACGTCCAGAACCAAGTTTCTCGCTGCATTCATTCGGTGCCAAACCCAAAGTCCTCACCAGAAACCTTCAGTGCAAATCCTCTCTGGAGCTGTTACACCCGACTAAGTGTTCTTCTGGTACCATGGAGAAGGTTTGCTTGTGGTTTCCAGTAAAGCGGGACTCTGGATTTTCTGTGTCGGGAATAAAAACCTGAACAAGAGTCGCCTGCATTTGCATTTATTTCACACATTTGACTGTGAAACTCAACACAGCAGCGATGAGAAAAGAAGAAAAATGTGTTTTCATTTTCTGCAACACAGACTTTCTCCACTTTTTTAAGTTAATTTAACTACTTGGCTTCTATGATTTATTAAAATAAACCACGAGAAGGAACATTTAGCCTTCAGCTAGCTGGACAAGCAACATGTGACTCTGCTCGATTTTGAAGAAATCACACACTAGAAGGTTTGGGAATCATTGTTTTAAAGTTTCTGTGTTCATTTCTGCTGTCTGATTAAATAAAAACAAACTTGTTTGTCTTTCTAAAGCGAGTCTGTCTTCGTGTTTCTTGAAGCTGACTTTCATAACATGCATCATTTAATGCAAACGGCGTGTTTCCTGGATGACACACGATTCGGTGTTTGTTTTGTCAAACGGCTGATTAAACAGAACTTCTTTCCGGTTTGTGTTTCTGCAGATGAACGGGACCGAGTTCAGAAGAAGACTTTCACTAAATGGGTCAACAAGCACCTGATGAAGGTGAGTTTCATCTTCAGCTCCGTCTGTCCCTAAACGAACCCACAGCTTGTTTAGTTTAAACCTTAAAACCCCACCTGGTTGTGATCAGGTTAAACCGAAGCGTCTGATCCAGCAGATTAACTGGAAGGAGAACGATTTAAAAGAAAATGTAGAAAAAAAAAAACACATTCTACAAGCTTCCTTGGCTGCAGCGTTTAAGTGAAGCCGTGTGCACGCCGAGGAGGCGCTGAGTCACCGACACCTGGACTCGCTTTAGAACTGGTTCAGGTTTCACATCTGGGGTCCAGGCTGCCTGGGCGGGCTCTCGAGGCTCTGCAGGGGAACAGGAAGGAGCCAATGTGGGATCAGAGGAGTTAAATATGTCTGCAACCACCGATAAATGTTCTGACCCTCAAATAACTTCCCAGGTGTACGACACAGAGCTGCAGCTACGCTAACAGTTATTTTTAGTAAATATTAAAGTTCTGCTTTTTGGGGTTTTCTCTTTGTTTTAGGGAGTTCTTGCTTTTTTTATGCATGTAAAAGATCTGCAAACCAACTTAAAGTCCACATAAAACTGAGTCATTCTCTCTTTACCTGCCTGAAACACCTCATTTTAAAGTTCAGGCTTTTCTTTTGTTACTCATCGACATCACAGCGTAGCTCATTTGCATAATGCTGCTAATTTAAACAAAAAGTTTCCTTTCAGTCCGACATTATTCTCTTGCTGGAGCTGCTTCTATTAAAACTCCACCTTGAAACCCAGAGATCTGGTGTTACCGTATGTAGACAACATTTCCTCACGTTCGTCAGCCCAACTGACCAATCAGAGCCTTTCAGGAAGTGGTTCTTAAAGAGACAGGAGCAACTTATTGAATAAGTTCTGACGCAGAACTTTTTACTCATCAGCTGTTTCTTTTGCTGTTTTTGGTTTTGGCCAGAAAAATTAGAGCTTTTCTGAAAACTTTTATCTATTTTTCTCTCACAGATGAACAAAGTTTNAATGTTGAGGCAGCTCATGACAGACTTAACGGTAAATTTGCAGCATCAAAACGAGTTTCAACGTTTCTGTCAGACAGTAACGAGCTTCATAACGGGACACGCCTTCTGAACTGTTGACAAGAAGCTGCTGAGCTTCAGGAGGAGCTGCGTTCGTGCTGCCATCACTTTTATTTCTTCTTGGCGTGATCGCTGAGCGGCAGTCCAACAGCGTCGGTCTTTGAGCCCGTTTCTGTCCCAGTTCACCAGAACCACTGAACTCCACCGACAACATGTGGTCTTCTGCTAAAGTTGTGGAATTTTAAATGGAGCTAAACGTCCAGAACCAAGTTTCTTGCTGCATTCATTCGGTGCCAAACCCAAAGTCCTCACCAGAAACCTTCAGTGCAAATCCTCTCTGGAGCTGTTACACCCGACTAAGTGTTCTTCTGGTACCATGGAGAAGGTTTGCTTGTGGTTTCCAGTAAAGCGGGACTCTGGATTTTCTGTGTCGGGAATAAAAACCTGAACAAGAGTCGCCTGCATTTGCATTTATTTCACACATTTGACTGTGAAACTCAACACAGCAGCGATGAGAAAAGAGGAAAAATGTGTTTTCATTTTCTGCAACACAGACTTTCTCCACTTTTTTAAGTTAATTTAACTACTTGGCTTCTATGATTTATTAAAATAAACCACGAGAAGGAACATTTAGCCTTCAGCTAGCTGGACAAGCAACATGTGACTTTGCTTGATTTTGAAGAAATCCCACACTAGAAGGTTTGGGAATCATTGTTTTAAAGTTTCTGTGTTCATTTCTGCTGTCTGATTAAATAAAAACAAACTTGTTTGTCTTTCTAAAGCGAGTCTGTCTTCGTGTTTCTTGAAGCTGACTTTCATAACATGCATCATTTAATGCAAACGGCGTGTTTCCTGGATGACACACGATTCGGTGTTTGTTTTGTCAAACGGCTGATTAAACAGAACTTCTTTCCGGTTTGTGTTTCTGCAGATGAACGGGACCGAGTTCAGAAGAAGACTTTCACTAAATGGGTCAACAAGCACCTGATGAAGGTGAGTTTCATCTTCAGCTCCGTCTGTCCCTAAACGAACCCACAGCTTGTTTAGTTTAAACCTTAAAACCCCACCTGGTTATGATCAGGTTAAACCGAAGCGTCTGATCCAGCAGATTAACTGGAAGGAGAACGATTTAAAAGAAAATGTAGAAAAAAAAAAACACATTCTACAAGCTTCCTTGGCTGCAGCGTTTAAGTGAAGCCGTGTGCACGCCGAGGAGGCGCTGAGTCACCGACACCTGGACTCGCTTTAGAACTGGTTCAGGTTTCACATCTGGGGTCCAGGCTGCCTGGGCGGGCTCTCGAGGCTCTGCAGGGGAACAGGAAGGAGCCAATGTGGGATCAGAGGAGTTAAATATGTCTGCAACCACCGATAAATGTTCTGACCCTCAAATAACTTCCCAGGTGTACGACACAGAGCTGCAGCTACGCTAACAGTTATTTTTAGTAAATATTAAAGTTCTGCTTTTTGGGGTTTTCTCTTTGTTTTAGGGAGTTCTTGCTTTTTTTATGCATGTAAAAGATCTGCAAACCAACTTAAAGTCCACATAAAACTGAGTCATTCTCTCTTTACCTGCCTGAAACACCTCATTTTAAAGTTCAGGCTTTTCTTTTGTTACTCATCGACATCACAGCGTAGCTCATTTGCATAATGCTGCTAATTTAAACAAAAAGTTTCCTTTCAGTCCGACATTATTCTCTTGCTGGAGCTGCTTCTATTAAAACTCCACCTTGAAACCCAGAGATCTGGTGTTACCGTATGTAGACAACATTTCCTCACTTTTGTCAGCCCAACTGACCAATCAGAGCCTTTCAGGAAGTGGTTCTTAAAGAGACAGGAGCAACTTATTGAATAAGTTCTGACGCAGAACTTTTTACTCATCAGCTGTTTCTTTCGCTGTTTTTGGTTTTGGCTGGAAAAATTTGAGCTTTTCTGAAAACTTTTATCTATTTTTCTCTCACAGATGAACAAAGTTTCGTTTTTTAGTGGGTGTCAGACATTTCTGGCTTCTTCTGCTCTGTTCTTTGCAGCCGACAGCGCCTCCTTCTGGTGACACTCCAGAGCAGTTAATTGAAAACCAGACTCATTTTCTGGTTTTTATTTTTATTCTGCGTCACCGCTCGACAAGTATACGCAAACACGACGATTCATGAATGAAACAGGATCCTTAAAATGCTTCGACAACGATTACGCAACAATTTTTGTATAAAACAGGAATCTGAGGTTTCAAGTGAAAGTCGGGTTAAATTATAGACAAACACCAAAACTGCAGTTGTTTTTCCTGCAGCCATCATATTTCCAGAGTTTCATTCTAACCGAAGCCCACCTTCCTCCACCTGGTCTGCTTCCCGTTCAGCTCGATAAATCCTTGTTTTCACACGGGAACCCCAGCGTGTTGAGCTCGAGGAATGTCTGCCGTCGTCCATGTGCGTCCTGCGACACGAGGCCCGACACGAGATGACTCACAGACTTTGTTTGTTTTGTCGGGAAAATCCCTCAGATTCGTGTCCAAAAGACTGGCGGACGGTCAGCGATCCGCTGGACCTTGAGGCCATTTGGACTGAAGCAGCGCCGTCACGGGATTAAACTGGATATCTCAAAAGTGCCACCTACTGTATCCTGATGTAGTTTTATTTGTAGTTTTATTTAAGCTTTTTTTTTTTTATCCCGCTGTGATCAGGACAAAACCACAGACAGCCAGTTGTCATTCAGCCAAAGAATACAGAAGCACATTTTTAATTTTAAAGACGAAAAACAGGCAAATGAAACTCTACAAAAAAAGCTTAAAACGACAAACTGTCCTCGTGTAACATCTGTCAAGTCAAACCGTGTTTTCAAATTATGTTTGTTTGACATAAATGCATGTTAATATATTCTAATAGACCCCAACATTAAATTACAAACCTGTATATGTGCGTTATATTTACATATTAAAGAGCCCTGCGTTTTGAGGTTTTCTCTTTCTTTTAGTGTAAAGTTAAAATAAAAAACCTACAAGTCCCCATAAGAGGGAGTTACTCTCTCCTTACCTGCCTAAAAAGCCTCATTAGAAGTCCAGGCTTTTCTATTGTTACTTATTGACATCACAGCGTAACTCATTTGCATAACGTTCTGTTACTTAGCTACATCACCAAGTAGCTCATTTGCATAATGCAGGTGGCTTTTTTGTGCATGTAAAAGATCTGCAAACTTAAAACACAAAACCCACCCTCATTTGAAGGCCAGGCGTTCTTCTGTTACCTGTCGACATCACAGCGTAACTCATTTGCATAACGAGCCGCTAGTTCAGACTAAAAGCTTCCGACTGTATTTTCTTGCTAGAGCTGCTTCTGCTGAAACTACATCCATAAGCTCACAGATCTGGGGTTAGACAGAATTACATTTTCGTTCTTCTTGAGTTTCAAAGACGGAAACAGTCAAATTAAAAGCTTAAAGAGAATTAAAGAGACGAAAATGACAAGGAAGTGGTTCTTAAAGAGACAGGACCTAAAACTGAGATGTTGCAGCATTTATTTTTTTAAACATTAATGCATGTAAATATATTCTAATAGACCCCAAAATAAAGTTGCAAACCTGTAAATGTGCGTTTTATCGGCTACAGTCAGTAAATATTAAAGAGCCCATGTTCTGTTTTTGGGGGGTTTCTTTCTTTTTGTGTATTAAAGCTCTTTTGTGCATGTTAAAGATCTGCAAACCAAATTAAAGTCCACACAAAACTGAACTATTCTCTCCTTACCTGCCTAAAGAACCTCATTAGGAGTCCAGGGTTTTCTACTGTTACTTACTGACATCACAGCGTAGCTCATTTGCATAACGTCTAATTAGCAGCTGGTTTAAACTAAAAGCTTCCGGCGTTATTTTCTTACTGGAGCTGCTTCTGCTAAAACTTTATTCATATAGTCACAGGCTAGAATTGCAGCTTAAAGTTTCTTGAGTTTCAAAGACAGAAACAGGTGACGTTAAACGCTAAAACGACCGACTGTCCTTTTCTAACGTCTGTCGAATCAAACCAGCATCTGTGTCCTTTGTCTTCTGCTCCGTCTCGAGTCCTTAAAGTTTTACATCTCCTCTCATCCCACTGTTTCTTCTTTCCATCCTTCACCCTGTCCTCCATCCTTTACCGTCAGCACTGGAAGGCCGAGGTAGGTTCTGGCTCTGACCCGAGTGCTGTCTGGACTCTCCTTCGTTTCCGCCTGCATGTGTGCGTTAGCTTTATCTAACCCTCCTCTCCGAGTCTTTCCTAACTGCCCTTTTTTCCCCCCTTGCGGTGCAGCTTGTCTTTACGTGTTCTGTGGCTGATTACAAACAGTAGCAGTGACTTGCATGCTCAGTTTACAGGAGGTTCAGCACTAAGATTGCTTTTCTTGTAGTTTTCCCAAGTCGTCCTTTTGGTTCTGATGTAGTATTTGTTACCTAAAGGACAAAGAAAACGAGGGATTACGTGATCCCAGGTTTTACCGCATTTGTGAGAAAATGAATGCAAATCTCCTCAATTAACAACCATTCTGCAGATAAAACGTCAATATGGGGCTCTAGTTGACGATATAAACTGTAATTAAGTGACTTAGATGATCTAGTTAACGCCTTTCTGCAGTTTAAACCTCTAGAATACTTATCACATGAGCCGTAGCTAACAGCTAAAACCGGCAATCTTGAAGAATTCATTCTCTTTGGCGATAATCGTCAACCTTAGGCGTGGTTTTTTCAACCTCACCTCCCTGAAATCTAAACAGCGTCGCCACATGTTGACGTTTTGAAGCTCAGTGTGGTGACTCAAGCCGTCTGACGCCTCCCAACCCTCGTCTGATTTAAAAATGAGCAAAAACGTGCAGTCACGGCCTTAGTTTTGCATAACTTTAAGCCTTAATTCAATTTAAATGGGTGAGTTGTATAAAGGTTTAAAGCCAGTGCAGGTAACACGAATGGGGGAATTAGCTAAAGAGACCAAAACCGTCTTTTCTAATGGGCTGCAAACATGTTTATTTCTGCTGTAAAGTTGGACATTTTAACATGGCGCTCTATGAGGATTGACTCATTTTGGATGCAGCCTCTAGTGGACGTTTGAGGAACTGCAATTCGTGGCTTAGTTTTTTAGCCCTGGAGGTTACGACTTCTTCAGACTTTTCCAGTCGGTTAGCGGTTAGCATCTGAGTCAACGTATCGTCATTATCCGTCTTGTCCTTGTTGTTTGGGACATAAAACTGTTTCTTAACACCACATTGCTTCACACATCGGCGACTTAACAGTGAATTTCCTCCACTTTCCAGAAAAATAAGGATGAAACATGTTAATTTTTTTTGCAGCATTGTCGTCACAGACTCTTAGTTTCGTAACACTGGAAGTGAAGGGACTTCCATATAATTTCAATAATGAGTCACAGTATGAGCAACTATTTCTAAAAACATTATGTCTCTATTCAGCTAAACTTCCTCATCAGTGTTAAAACAAACTTTTTTTGTTAAGAAATAGTTTGTGTCCCATATGGCACCATTATACTGAGACTGAAGTTCTGTTTTCACTCGTTGTTTGATTAGTTTTAGGAAAAATATCACAGTTCAGTTGAAACTTTCACGACAATAACCGCATGTTAGAAACTTGACACCAGAATTATTTTGTTAGATTAAGCAAAACATGCACGATTTAAGCTAAACCACAACTTTCTGACAGCATGTGGTGATGGAGGGTGGTTTAACAGACGTTTACTTGAATGAAAGTCTTCAAGATTGCCGCTTTTAAGAAATAGTGAACTACTTGAGCAGAGTTGTGGGCGAGCTGGTGTGCTCGAGCTACACACTGTTTTAGGAAAAAAAAAAAAAGACTCTTGTTATTTGAATAAACATATTATTCAGGGTCAAAAACTATTTTCTTATAAAGTAAATTATTGTTTTGTGTATTCATAGCAGAAGGGCGGTTGTAAGATATTTGTGTTAGTTAAATATCAACAACTGCACTTATAAACTCCTAATTTACTGTATTTGTAGCCTAAATAATCTTAAAAGTTGCGTTAATGTGAAAAGAATCTTAACTTTGGTTCTTACATTACACATAAACTCCAGACACGAGCGACCAAACGCTGCAGAAAGTCGTCAGACTGGATGTTTGCTTACAGCCGGTGGTCTAACTGCTTGCTGACGTGTTAAAAATAACACGAGGAGTGATGGAAGTAAGAGGTTATGAACAGAAAACGTAGTAATTTGCTGCTGTGTTTCCCTTTTCCGATGAATTTCAGTGTCATTGTGATTGTTGTGCGTGTCTTTGCTTCCCCGTGGAGATCAGCCGCCGTTTGTATGCTGTGTGAATACAAACGCAGTGATGTGAGGCTGATGATCGATGATGTGACTGAAAGACTAAAAACCAGCTTCCTGTGTTGTGTCCTCAGACCCAGCGGCACATCACCGACCTGTACGAGGACCTC